AACCCATTGCTAATGAGTCAATTCCTACTTATGGTAGCACCATGTGTTACAGAGTAGAAGTGGCTCATAGGGTTTTCTTCACTATAATCTTTATGATGTTATTTATTGATCCAGTGGTGAGGATTTTTTGTTTTATTTACATTGAGGTGCAACCCATACTGAAGACTGTGTCTTTGATCTTCATCAGTAAGTATTTTAAGTCTTCTTAGCTTTCAGCAAGCAAGGTGGTATCATCTGCATATCGCAAGTTGTTAATGAGTCTTCCTCCAATTCTGATGTCACATTTTTCCTCATATAATCTAGGTTCTTAGATTATTTGCTCAGCACGCAGATTGAATAAGTATAGTTAAAGTATACAACCCTGGCGCAAACCTTTCCTAATTTTAAACCATTCGGTATTCCCTTGTTCTGTTCGAACAACTGCCTCTTGGTCTATGTACAGGTTCCTCGTGAGCACAATTAAGTGTTCCAGAATACTTGTACTTTGCAATGTTGTCTATAGATTGCCATGATCCATGCCATTGAAAGCCTTTGCGTAGTCAATAAAGTGCACGTAAACATCTTTCTGATATTCTCTGCCTTCAACCAAAATCCATGTGTTGTCAGCAATGATATCCCTTGTTCCACATCCTTTTCTGAATCCGGTTTGAGCCTCTGGAAGTTCTCTGTCAATGTATGGTTGCAGATGTTTTTGTATTATCTTGAGTAAAACTTTACTCACAGGGGATATCAATCATATCTTTCATCCAATGATATTTGCATTCTGCTGAGTCACCTACCTCTCTTTGAAATGGGCACAAATATGGATCTCTTCTAGTCAGTTGTCTTCCAAATTTCTTGGCATAGATCAGTGAGTGCCTCCAGTGCCACATCAGTTTGTTGAAAGATTTCAACAAATCCTCACCAATGGACCAGTACACAATATCACAATAATGGAGAAAAGATTAAAGGTGTTAAAGACTTAAATTTTTTTGGATCAGCCATGAAGACTCATGGAAGCAGCAGTCAAGGAATCAAATGACTATTGCATTAGACAAATCTGCTGCACCAAACCTCTTTAAAGTGTTGAAGAGGACTAAGGTGGGCCTCACCCAAGCCATGGTATTTTCAATAACCTCACATGCACACAAAAGTTGGAAAGTGAATAAGGAATACCGCAGAAGAATGGATACATTTGAGCTATGTATGATGTTGGAGGAGAATATTAAAAGTACCATGGACTTCCAAAAGAACAAAATAATCTGTGTTGGAAGAAATATGGCCAGAATGCTCCCTGGAAGCCAGAAACTTCGTGCCTTATACTTTGGACATATTGTCAGGAGGGACCAGTCCCTGGAGAAGGATATCATGTTTGCTAAAGTGGAGGGTCAGAGAAAAAGAGGAAGATCCTCAATGAGAGATTGGTGCAGTGGTAGTAGCAATGGGCTCAGGCGTAGTACGATTGACACATTTTTATTACTATTCTGTTAAAAGCAGGGTTTTAGTGCTTGCCATCACTAGATAAGTAAAGAAGCAGCCTTTCTGTGGCGAGTAAGAATAATTGTATACAAAGTCTAGAAATAATCAGTTATGTGTGTTTTGTGTAATTAAAAACTTATTTAAAGTAAAGAACAAAAATAACAACAAAAAAGACTATTTGTATAAAACTTTTTAATTATACAAATAATGATAGGACATTTCAAGAGAATTGTTATTCATTAAAGAGTTTCAGTATATTTTTTCATTTAAAATGGAAATAGATCCTTTGATATTAAAATAAAATAAGTTAAAAATGTGTAAATTTGAACTTAAATGTTCAATACCAAATAAACTGCATTACACTGTTCAATTAAAATATTATGGTTTAAGTTATGAGGGAGAAAGTGCATATAATTTATTTTTAAAACATAGTATGCTTTCCCCTGTATCCTCTACCCCCAAGCCCCCACTAACTGTGTGGATTTTTTTAAAGACCCCAAATATTTTTTGGTTAGGTTTTTTTTACCAAAATCCATTCCAAAAGAATAATATTTGGTGAAACTATTTAAGTTTTTATATCATTCCTTACTTTAATAGATATATTTTTGAGTGATTACATTTAAATGTTGAATAACTTTAAAACTGCTTACTTTTTATTTTGTATTCAGTATGGAAATTTATTCCCAGAGAGGAGCTTTTCTGATGCAAAATTGGAATGCTTGTGTAGTCACAACAGCTGTCCCCACACCATGTGGTATCTTCCATTACTTTACTATAGAGATGAATTTTTGGCCCAGTGTTTCAGTAATATTGGACACATATGGTTTTAAGTGGCAAAGCAGTATGCTTATGCATTCATTTGACTTTCACAGCTACAGTTGGCTTCAGATTAGAACAGGGAGAATACATTCACACCATGGCCACCCTCATGGCTGCTGGAGGAGCTCTGGATCACAGTAGGCTCTGTTGCTTCTGAAGACACAACTACCTATTGCTGAGGAATTACACATTCAAGGAAGTGCCTTACAGCTGTAGGAGAGAGAATAATGACCTGCTAAAAGAATTCAGAGACTTCAGGTTATGGTTTTAGTTATTGTTGATCTAGTTGTTGTTATTTTTTTAATATTAATAATAAACATCATGACCATGAAGTAACTATGAAATAAAGAAAGATAGCCATAACAGTAGGCAGTTGTTCAGGATCTCAGTCCAAATACTTTAGTTAAATTGTTTCCTTTCCAGATAAAAGGGATACTGTACTTGTAGACTAGTCTATTATTAGCAAGGAATTAAAAAACAGATTGATTTTAATTGTTCATATGTGCACCATAGTGTTGTCATTGTTAAGTGCATATATGGTGCATATATGAACAATTGAAACAATAGGAGTCTACAAGTACAGGGGCGCTTTTTTCTGGAAACAATTTTCAAAACAATGGACACTGTACTTTGTGAAATAGTTTGCTATGTGAAATACTGCTTTATATTTTTGAAAATTTAGACAAATTCCTTTGTTCCAAAAATGTTTCTTATAATCAATGCAGAAATAAGATTATTTGATTGACTGTGAAATTGCAATGATATGTGATATGGTTTGAATATTATATCACTGAATTCAATACAGTGCACATGTAGTTTCCACTCCTGGCTATTCCTGGCATGATTTTGTATTGCAAGCTTATATTTAAATTCTGTGTAAAACTTAACTCTTGCATTTCTGAAACCCGTTTGGTATATTTATTAAAACTTTGGCCTTTTAGCAATTAAAATGTGATTTTGTTGAGAAACAAATTATATTCCTATCACTAACATCTTTTTATTGTTCCTCTAGGTGATATATGAATAAAGAATAATAGGTTTTCCCTAAATAAAATAAGAGCAAACAAAAAGAAATTAATCTCAGTGTAAGTTTTTAAATCATCTGACATGGAGAATTAGATTGCTGGTGTTCATTAAATATCAAAGAAATTCCAACCATACCCAATTGCAGGCTCTTTTTATATAAGTGAATTTATGCATGTATCCTACACACTATACAGATGAATATGTTTGAGTCTTTCAGCTTTTAGTGGATACAAAGTAGAATGATTGATAAAATCCTCCCTACTATTGGCTATTATTTACTGACTCTTAAGTGGCAGGTTGTATTTATGCCAATTTATCTGCTTCAGGGAACATTCTTGATAGCAGAACAAAGTGAATAAAAGTAGTTTGCTTTGCAAATGAATGCAAATAGGAGAGCCTTTCGGAAAGCCCTTTAACAGGGGCAGTGCACTTTGATTATGAGTGAAGCTGCCATTTGGACATGGTGAAAAGAGCACGCTTGAACCATTGATTGGGGGAGACAGTAAAAAGTCAGGAAGGGCCCCGTTAAGCTTGCACTGAGGCAGGCGGATGTCAGTGTGGTTAGAGCACAGTGGGAGAGTGACAGGGAGGATTAGTGTCAGGGAGAAGCTTGGCTGTAGCTGTGGAGATAGTCCCTGGGGTCACTCACCTCTGACTGTTGTTCTGTGCTGATGGTTCTGTAATGCAAACTGCCTGATGTATGCCTGTTCATTATCGGAAATGGTGATTAGAAAAGATATTTGTCTCAAAGGTTCCTTTCTTCCTTTCTTCTTTCTAATTAAAGGAAAATCAGGTAGGCTTCTTCCATTTCTCTGCTATTAGAGTATTATTTAACATCAGAGTATTACTGGAGTGGTAGTTTAGTGGTAAAGTGGACCGTGAAGTAATTAACATGATCATTTGTTAGTTTATAAATAGTTCGTATTTGCTTTGCTCAGTTTTGATTTTGCCCAGTGCTGAGTAAAATTTGGAAAGTATGGTTGCTAATGGGTGTTTTGCTTTTCAGGTTTTTTAATCCTTAAAGTACTTACTTATTCAGCTTTATAATTTGGCAACTTTTAGGAGATACTTACCATCTCAAAAATTAAATGTTTTGCATGGACTTAGTCGTATAAGTCTTGGTTACAGCAGTTTCTAATTTTCTTTGATTGCCAAATTTTGTGAAACACTAGCATTTCTCTATCTGCTACCAAGTTAAACTTCCTGAAAATACATTGTTTATAAAATTGAATATTGTTATACAGCGTGAATAAAAAAATTGTCTTTGTTACAGTTCTGATTATAATTCAGTACATTTACTGCTTTAAAATATAATTTTTCTTAAAACTTCAAGGCCTCTTACATTAGCAAGGTTACGTAACACATTTAGGAGCAGCAGTGACGCAGTATATTCCATAGACTTTAAAAATGGCTTATTTTAAAGCAAAATTGAATGGAATTGCTTTTATTGTTTTTATCATCTTCAAAAGCCTGGCTTCTCCACATTTCTGCTTTCTTTTCAATATACAAAAGAAGATGTAAAAAACTGCTGGAACTTTGCATTCTAATGTTAAACATGAAACAACCTTTATAGAAACTACTAGATACATTATAATATTGTTGACTTTTGGTTCACAGGCTTGCTAAATGTTGTAACGAACATTCTCCCAATTATCATCATCATCTTCTTTTTTATTTATTTTTTTAATGTTTCACAGGCACTAGAATGGATAGAAGAGGACCTCAGCCAGCTGACAAGAAGTATGGTTAAGTTCCCAGGAGGGACTCCAGGTCGATGGGAAAAGATTGCCCACGAATTGGGTCGATCAGTGACAGATGTGAGTTCACTCAGATTTGCATGGTATGGAGAGTGACAAATCACAACAACAAGCAGACTATGGTGAAGGCAGACATAGATGAGCCCAACACTATCTTTGGAAAGAGGCTACAGTCCTTGTAGGACCTGGAAGTGAACCATTAACAAAATAAGCAAAAAGCAGATGTCAGCTAGTCCCCTGGTCCACAATTAACAGCTGTAACTGATCAGTGTGTGGAGGATTCAAATGCTTATAGACTTAAGCTACTGTAACCTAATCACAGAAAAACAATGCCAGTTTTTGTGTTTGTAGTCATCCCTTTAACTGTGGAAAAAATAGTTCTCAGATTGAGCAGAATTAGAGAAGTTGTGTTTCAGCCTGGATCTTTTAACATTGAAGTACAGATTGCTAGTGGTATTTAGACAGGTGGTTTGCATTAATTAAATGAGCAGTTTCTATAATGCAAATAGAATGTTTGAATTTTTATTTCAAGGTTGATATGTACCATCCATTTTGACAAGTTGTTTAATCAGGAGAAGCAAAAAATAAATGTAAAGGTAAATGGCCATACTTCACATTTAAGACAAAGTGGAACGTTTTTGGCTCAATACTAGGGGTGCTTTTCTTCAGGAAAAATAGGGAAGATGATCTGATAAAAAGCAGCTAACACAGTTCCTAACATGTACTAAATCATCAGCAAATTGGAATTAGAGGAGATCTTTATTTTCATCACTGTAATTAGTAAGATATAATTCATAAAGAGTAGTAAACATTCTTTGCTAAATAATAAATTCTTTGCTAAATTTAAATAAGTCCTACAGATCTAAAAATTTTAAGGGATTACTAAACTCGGAGACTCAAAGATTCAATTACTCCTTTCAATTCTTTTAGTATGCCTTTGGGTCTTTTTGATAATGAACAGTAAAAATCCTCTGAAAAATTATTCTTGAAGATAGCTATCAAAAAGAGTAGCTTGTTGCATAGAGACTAGAAGTTCTTTTCCATAGTAAACTTCTACTTTTTTATTTAGAAGCAAACTTAGAACAAATGTTACTGTCAAGCTATTTTTTCTTTCCTTTTCTGTGTGTGTGTGTAAATATATATGAAATGCTTTAGGAAGTTTAAATGAAAATGTGAACAATCTTTTCTACCATACAGGTCTTTTTAAAGCCATATTCTAAATAGTAATATTTGAATATTTATAATATGTTTGCTTATTTTGGTTTCAGCAATTAAGTACAATTATGTAGAAAAATAATTATTGTAGCTTAGAACAATTTTTTTTTTTTGCAGTGTTTCATGAAGAGACCAGTTTACCTTGGGTAGTTGGAAAAGAACCTCTTCTTTGCTAAGAATTTTATTGAGATGAATATTGAATTATCCTGTTTATAAAAGATAAATTTATAATGATTTGTCAGTAAATATCTCACTAAATTAAAGATACTTTATGGTTATTGTTGTTAAGTGTTGTAGAGTCAGTTTCCACCAATAGTGACCCTGTATAGAGTTTTAAAGGAGTGGCTGGTAAGTTTGAATTGCTAACCTTGTGGTTCAAACTGACTTTGCAGTTCAATGCATTACCCCACAGTGCCACACCAGAACAATATAGTGATTGACAAAAATTACTCATATAATATTTAGGTAGTTATAAAACACTGTTTTAAAAGGTCCCCAACACTTTTAGTTCAATTACTTACTGAGGGGGAAAAAAAAGTTCATTAATTTATTATATCTATTGAAGATACAGTCCTGTGGGCTCTGTAGGATAAGTACTGGATTGCTAATCACAAAGTCAGCAGTTCAAACCCACAGTTCACTCCAAAAGAGAAAGATGAGGTAAGGCTTTCTACTCTCATAAAGAAACCCTATACAAGTTGCTATGAGCAGGGTTGCAATGAGTTAGAACTGACTCCATGGCAGTGTTTTTTGAGTATTGAAGCTAACACCCCCTTTAACTTTTTAAATGATATTTTCTGAGGCCTTACAGTTAATAATGTCAGAGGCTTATAGGAAATTTAGTAGAGAGTTATTTTAAAGTAATTATCATTAAAATCTAGTTAAATGTATTTAAGTATTTTTAAGAGGCAGGAGAAGAAAGTTTTAAAAATGCTTAGCAAATATACATGATATAGCAAATAGATCTTTGGGTTGGCTAGTTAGTATCATAGATACAGAAAATCTATACATAATTTATAAGAGTAGTCTCTGTGCAGGAAAAAGTATTTCAGTTTTTGTTTTGTTTTCTTCCCTTGAATTACCCAAGGTAGACTGATATCCATGTCTATAATAAAACCCAAATTCTCTTCCATTGAGTTGATTTAGACTCAAAGCAACCCTACAGGACAGAGCAGAACTGCCCCATAGGGTTCCCAAGACTGTAAAACCTTCATGGAAGCTGACTGCCATATCTTTTTTCCACAGTCAGCAGCCAAACACTAAGCACTTTAATCACTGTGTCACCAGAGTTCCTTGTCTGTAATTGTTGTTAAGTGTCATCCAGTCGGTTCCGATTCTTTCAGGGAGTGCAGCTGGTAAGTTTGAACTACTGTCCTTGTGGTTCTCCATCCAGTGCTGATTCTACACCACCAGAAGTCAGCTATCTCTAATGTTGTTGTTGTTGTTAAGTGCCGTCGAGTCGGTTCCGACCCATAGCGACCCTGTCCAGGGTTTCCAAGGGTGTAAATCTTTACGGGAGTAGAAAGCCTCATCTTTCTCCTGTGGAGTGGCTGGTAGTTTCGAACCGCTGACCTTAAGGTTCACAGCCCGATTCGTAACCACTACACTACCAGAGCTGTGTTTTATCATTAAAATGGCAAACATAACTTTTTGAAAGATTTTTTATTTGCCAAATATTATTTCCATTTTCATTATACCAAAAAGTACCTTGAAAGTCAACATTTAATGAATCTAAACTTTTGTAGTACCAAAACATGCTATTGTAAAGTTTTTTTAATTTTTCTTCTAGTCACCTAAATTTGTGCCGTTCTTAAGTTCCATCGAGTCAGATTCTGATTCATAGTGACTCTGGATAGGGTTTCTGAAGCTGTAAATTTTGGTGGAGATAGAAAACATCATCTTTCTTCCATGGAAGGGCTGGTGGACTTGAACCATTGACCTTGTGGTTTCCAGTCCAGTGCATATCCTACAGAACTCAATATATATTTTCATTCTGTGAATATCCTGTTAATAGCTAAACTACACATTTCATTCAGTAATACACTCACAAAAATAACAATTTTACATTACTCTGTAAAAGAAAAAAAGCATCTGAGGACTGAGATCATTAAGAATGATTTATAAAGGGGTCCAGCCAGCAGGAAGTGGAAGCTGACCACACTTTAAAAGTTTTTTCATTCTTTTTGGTTGATACTGTTAATTAGATTTGTTTTCATTAAGTATTTGATTATGAAAAAGAAACCAAGTTCAGTTACTGGCCTGATCACCTGTACCACTTTTGTCTTAGCACATCTCTTCTTTAACCCATTTTTTCTTACTCAGTTTGTAGCTGCTGGCTTAGTTCTCTTTCCTTAAAGAAGCAATTGATTTTTTTTGAGAGGTGTGGGAAGGTCCCAGTAGCAGGATCTCCAAGTTCTTTATTTGAGCTAACTATAGTGAAGTAAGGAACTCTGGTAGTGTAGTGGTTATGAATTGGGCTGCGAACCTCAAGGTCAGCAGTTCAAAACTACCAGCTGTTCCACGGGAGAAAGATGAGATTTTCTGCTCCCATAAAGATTTACAGCCTCAGAAACCCTGTACAGGGTTGCTATGAATCCAAACCGACTCCATGGCACACAGCCACCACCACTACCAACTGTAGTGAAAAGTTCATTTTATTCCTCAATTAAGAAAGGAGTTTTACGTGTATTATCATAATCAACATAGATTGCTGTGTTCTACTCTGAAGAATACAAGCCAAGTTAATATTTTTGATCAATGGAAAGTATATTTTAACTAAGAGATACTGAAATTATATTACGGATTAAATGTTTCAGTGTTAATGTATGCCTTTCAGCAAATAATTTTGGTAACCACAAAAGATACTCAAATTATAAAGACCACAGAGGAAATAGAACTGTTTGGCATGTAAAACCAACTTTAATGTGATTATTAGCTGCAGGTTTTCTACATTAAGGTCAGGGAGCACTCAGATTTCTTGCTTGTAAAATAATATCATTATCTTGCCTGAAAGGTTGTAAACTGATTCAGCTTCACTCTGTGGTCACTAATCTCTTGCATTCTGGTTGTGATAACAGCCTGCTTGGAGATTTTCTGCCTTCTTGAAAAAAGCCCAGGTAGGCAGCAAAAAAAAAAAAGACAGGTGGAAAGATTTAAGCAGACTTCTGTTAATTAGCTTAGTGCCCCGCTGTGAGGTAAGAGATGTGTAGTTAGATACGATGAGAAAAAAGGCAAGAATAAAATTCACAATTTTATTTTACTAGCTGGAACTAGAGAGGGAATAGAGAAGCTATTAATTGGGGAAAGGAGGGGGTTAATATAATATTATGATATGGTTCAAAAATGTTTAAGTGGATTGTTCAATTGAAATTTTAGATTTATCAGTGGTAAATATATAGTTTGTGGGGCTTTTGAAATACTTTATTGTGATTTGAATGAAAGTTTACAGGAATGGAAAATTAATTTACCACTCAATAATTTATACCCAGTTTATTTCAGGATATTGGTTGCAGTCCCCTCTGTGTACCAACACTCTTCCCATTTTCCATTTGTCCTCCTTTCCTGCTCCTTCCTGACTTCTGAACTTTAATTTGGGGCACATGCTGTCCTTTTGGCCTCCTGTAGGTGATTGTTCTGGGAGTACATTCCTCACAGGTGGTGTTTGTTTACTTTAACATTTGGCTGAATGTGATATCAAGTAGTATGTTCTGTTCTAGGTTTGAAGGTGTTTAAAGGTTGTAAAAGTCTCAGGGGTTCCACCAGTGTCTATCAGACTTATAGGTCCAGGCTAGATTTTTAAGACCCCAGTATACGAGGGTTAGTCAAAATTTATCTGTACTCTGTTG